TCAAAGTCCCAAAATATAAGGAAAAGAAGCCCTAATATTCAAAATGAGATATCTAATCAAACAAAAGAGAAAGGTTCGAACTTGATACCTCTAACAGAAGCTCTTGGACGTATAAGCAGCAGATCTAACAGCCTCTTCACAATCCTTGCTTGGAATCCTCCTTTCCTCTACCAAAATGCACCCACAAATATCAAGTAAGGCTCAAAACTCTCTCAACACCTCTAGGGGGCGATTAGGGTTTCTTCTCAGTGAGGTGTGGCCGCAAATGAGGCTATAAGTGCCTTTAAATAGGTCCCAAACCCGGGAATCTAGGGTTTCAACTCACAGCGCCTACTCGGCGAGTCTACTCTCGGACTCGTCGAGTAGATCATTAAACTCACGTGGCCACACCCGCTTGTACTCGGCGAGTTATAGCACCAACTCGTCTAGTAGATCAATGAACCTCAAAAATACATAATTAAAATAATATACCTGGGAATCCGGATGTTACAAATAACATCAAGTATAATAGAAAACAACCCATGGCTTTGATACCACTGTTGGGTTTTAGTATACTACAACATCCTATGGTACACATACAACCCTAAAAGCTTTGGATCTATGTTTTCTCTAATTATACATGCAATATTGTTTCCAAAGCTTTAAGCCTATAACTAGAATACAAATGATATAAGCAACATAAAATACTAGTTAGGAGTTTACCTCTTTATGTAGCTTGTAGAACTTGTTGTATTTGGCCCTTAATAACACAGTACCAATAGTATGAATGCCTCAAATGGTTCACAACACATCTAGGACAAAGGATGACATTTTGAGAGAGAATCTTGAACCCAAAATCGTCCATGAACTCCAAGAACTAGTAGTCTCCGATTTTGGCCATGGAGTCACATATTTATATGTAGGATTCCAAAGGTCATGGGTTAGCCCAAATCCATACCCATGGGTTTATGATCCATGGTTCATGTGGCCCAACTCTTTATGTATCCATACATAAACTTAGTCCAACATGGATCATAAGCCCAACATATAAATATAACTAATTTACATAATTAGTCCTTATTGATTTAATTAGTCTCTTTTGATCACTAAATTAATTCCAAACTAATTCTTGATCAATACTAATTAAATCATATGATTTCATATTAATATATTAGAACTTATAATATATTAATAAACCGTAAATAACCTCTTTTCAAAAGTCCATCCTAACAAATTGTCCTGATGATATGCAACCCAGATGGACCATGCTACTCTCGGGTCAAGTACATACCAATTATAGTTATGGGCTTAGACACCTAATCCAACAAATACTAGAGAATTTTGGTACTAAGAAGTTGAAATTTTCATACAAAGTGTTCTGAGGTGTAAGGAGAAGTAAGGGGCTTGAAGAGTCTATTTATAGTTGAAATTTGGGCAAGGCGTGCCACACCCTATGGCGATGTCGTTACCAAAGGCAGCTGACACGTGTCGAAAAAGTGGTGGTCCACGCGCCACCTTCTAGAAGCGTGCGCTACGCCTACCTACCTACGCGTTGTGTTTTTCAAAAAAAAAACTTCAAAAAATCGTATTTTTATCCTACGAGCTCCGTTTTCGACATTCTTTATATCTACATGTAGCTATCCACGAGTACTACAACGTTCATTTAGACTCCGTTAGCTAATTCTCAATTTATTTTTAATTTTATATTTTTAAAGGGCTTAGACATCTAAAACCTGTATAAAAATCATAACTCTTTCATATGAATTCCGTTTTCGACTGTCTTTAAATTGATGAAATCTTATTCACGAGATCTTCAAATCTTGTTTAGATTGTTTTGGCTAATAGTCAACCGGTCTTAATTTCGATTTTTGTGTCCGCACCATTGTGTTCAAACTTCGAAAAATCATAATTTCCTCATATAAAGTCATATTTGGACGTTCTCTATATGCACGCTCTCGCTTTTATGATTACTACAACTTTCTTTTAGGTTACTTAGGCTAATAACAAACCCATGTCTGATTCACTATTCACGGAACACTTTGACGTATATGGTTGAACGCTAAACTTCGAATGATCATAACTTCTTTATACGAAGTCAGATTTAGATGTTCTTTATATGCACGTAATCACCATCATGACTACTTCAACTGTCATCAAGGTTATTTATCGTAATTAATATTTTTATTTTGATGCTTATTTTTGCACTATTTATTTAGTTTTAAAATACGTTTTTACACAAATATTATATACATAAGACACACACACACACACACACACACATATATATATATATATATATATATATATATATATATATATATATATATATATATATATATATATATATATATATATATATATATATAATTCCCTTTCATTGATTCATAAAAGCTTACAATTGTTGACCGACGTAAATACATATTATGCCTAGCGAAAAACACGAACATTACAGTATGCGACGACAGAGGGTATGAGGATGTTTGCTACCATGATATGTTGAGGACAAAGATCTAGGAGTTCGTGAACATTTCCAGTTGTGAGACTCTTTCCGAATTAATGGAGGCAGTCAGGACAGGAGAGCTGGAGTTGGAGACCCAGCAACGGAAGGGAAGGAGAGTTGTAATTTAAGTTGGATAGCCTGAGAACTCTTGGTCTTAAGCCTTATTGCATGGTTCTTTTGATTTATTTCTCTCGGGCAGGATCATTTGTTCAACTGTCTATCTAACTCACGACTACATATGATTATGTATTAATGAGGCGGTTGTCAGTATTAGCACCGGTCCCCATATGGATATGGATAGGAACGGAATGAAAGACCAGGATGTAGCCCATGACAATATGTGTAGTGACAAGAGTGACGATGGACAACACGTATGATGATTATGTGTGTTATATGCATGTTGAAATGAGAATTGGCATATCGGCGCTAGAGCCGAGATCTTTGTTTATATGCATTTCATGTATGGTGGATTATGTGGTATAGTGGGGAACTCACTAAACTTTACGCGTATAGTTGTGGAATATATGTTTTGAAGGTTGTTCATGTGAAGTGTTCGGCGGTACTTTACACTCTCATCGAAGATATTGGTTTCCGTTGTTTTGAAAATATACTTTGTTAATCTTATGGTTTTCAAACAAATAAATGTCACCTAATGATTCTAAGTAAATGATTTTATGGTTAATCTATTAAAATGAAAAATCTCTATTGCAATTTTTCGGACGTCACAGAAATCCTTGATTTTTGATGATGTGGTAGATAGAGCGTTTTTTAGATTTTTAATAGGTATAGCAAAACAAAGTGGGGATGGGTTTCTTGGCTCTATAATCTAGCTTTAGCTTCTATTTTACTGTAATGGGTCTTTTCTAACATCTTGCTACTTTTTATAATAAAATTCATTCGTTCCAAAAAAGAAAATAATGTTGCAATGTGTGATATAGGTATCAAATATTTTAAATTGAATTTTGTATTCTAATGAATGGTATTATTTTTAATAGATCTATAAAATTTTGTTATAGGTATTATTTGTTTATCTATTTGTTTAGAATTTTGTATTATTATTTTGGTGTTGAGTTGGTTGTGTATATTTATTAATTTTTTAAAAATTACAAAATCAACTAATAATTATCAAAATTACATCATAAAACAGATTCTACATAATGAAATGATAAATCTCTAAATTATACTAAAATTACATCTTAGAACATACTTTATAAAGAGAAGTAATACATCTAAATTACTTGTATGTATGATATTATTTGAAAACACAAGTCACTCCATTATTTACATATGCTAGAATCTAAAAAATAAAGTGCTAAATAAAAATGATAAATTTTAATAATAATAATCTCAGGAAAATGACTCATGAGGGAACCAACGGTTGATTTTGTTCCGAATTGATTTTTTTTTCTGTACGCAATATATATCTAACTTATTGTTTGAGTTCACCATAACCCTTTTGACCGGCTATCACATTTCATAGCCGGTCAAAAAGGTTATGGTGAACACAAACAACAAGTTAGATAATATACTGCGTACAAAAAAAAAAGACCAAATATGAACAAAATCAACAATCGATTATCCTCCTAAATCATTTTCCTTTTTTAGATTCATTTCACTGACTCTAACCATTTTTAGGGGTGACATCTCGACCTAGCTTGTTCACCTTCCTCGATAATGATTCAAAATACATCTAATGACCAATGATTCTTAATTTGTATAGCCTTTAGTTGTTATCCTAAAACTTTAGTGTCTTCCCTTAATTACTAGAATCTCTACCTATTTTTTTTATATTGGATTTAATTAAATTCATTCATGTATTTTTATTAATGAGAAATGGATTTTGAGTTGAAAAACCGGAATTCGTATATATTGTTGCTCCATTCTAATACTTTCCTAATCTTCATTGGTAGTCTTCATGCACCCCAACCAAACATGTAATAAAAATCTCGGATATAAAAACCTGACGCATATGTTCTTTAATTTGTATATTATAGAATTTTTTAAGAGCAAGGGGAAAAGTAATGTAAGGGTTTAACAATGTACGTGTTGTATTATTCTTTTATTGTACGATGTGAGAGAATTGTATTGGTGAAAGGTGGTTGTGGGTAAAGAGGTGGTGCCATAAGGCGGATGAGGGTGGATAGGAGATGTTGGTGAGGTGAAATAAGGCCCCGTTTGTTTGCATCTTAATACCACTTAATAAATGGTAGGTCTGAATCGGTAAGATTCAGACCGTTTGTTTACCTCTTATTTTGTGGTCTTAATCTGAATTTTATCACTTACCGAATCAGACTTGGAAGACCATCTGAAAAGAAAAAAAAAGAACGCCTCTTCCTATTTTACCCTGGTAATCGACTCGTTTCCCCCTTCTCTTTATTTCACAAACGCCGACCCATCCTTCCTGGCATCTTCGATCGTGCGAACTCTGTTATCCCGTCCGACATCAGCCAGCCACAGCCTCTACTTGCGCCGCTATCTCCGACGACATCAGACCTTTCTCATTCTCTCACCCTTTCTATTCCTATTTCACACGACACCTCCTTGCTCCCTCCCACTGCATCTCCGATCTGCAACACTCCGTCAGCCCCTTCACTACCAGCCGCCCACCGCCTCCTCCTGCGACGCCGCCTCCGTGAACGCCGTTGGGACCGCCGCCCTCTAGCTCCCTCAAATTCATCAATAACAGCTCTTGGTAACGTTTTTTCTCCTTCTAATCCCAATGGAATGTGTTAACAAAATCACATATTGTCATGAATCTCATAGAGAACAAACTGGGTTTGTGATTTACTGATTCTATTCCCGTAAGCATTTTCTCCTTCTTGAGAGACATTCAATTTCGTTTCTGATGTATGAGAATTTTGGTTGAGATCCCAGGAATAAGAATTTTGGATCACTTTTAAAATGATTGCAAATTCATGAGATTGAATACAGACAGAAAAATGGGAATTAGGAAAAATGGGAATTGGTGCTTGATATCTCTATTTTCAGTTTAATCAAATTGATTCCAGTAAAGGTCAGCACACCAAAGAAAGTTTTTTATGCCTTTGCTTGCATAAACTTTAAGGTATGACTTGTGGAATGTTGAACAGATATACAACAAATTGGGTGGATTATAGATACTTAATTCGGTTAGATATTTTTCTTTTTCTATGTTTCTTGTATGACATATGTTTTTGCTTGATGAAATATGAATATTAGCATGTTATGGATTCACTAAATGAAAGTACAATGTTATATATTGAACAGGTGGTGTCTATTAGTGGAGGATATTTCATACCCACAAGCTTAGGGAGTTCATTAACATTAGATATGTTATGGATGGATGTTCTAAAAGATTTCACAAAGCAACGAAAGCATGAGCTTTGGGTATAATCAAGAAATGATAGTGTTATGTTTGATTTGGATTTATGTTTAATCTGGATTTTATATGGTGTTTGTAAATTTTTTATAATTATTCAAGAAGTTGATTCCGTTATTTTATAAAAATGTTAAATTTAACAAAAAAATAACATAGAAGGGTAAAATGGTCATTTTTATAATTCAGCACTGCAATTCAGAAGTTCCAACCAAACGGCATTTGAAAATTCAGATCTTAAAAATTCAGACCCCCTTAGAAATTCAGACCTCTTAAAAATTCAGCTCTTATAAATTCAGATCCTGCCAAACAGCCCCTAAGATAGCTACTTTAGAGAAAAGGTGGACCCTCTCATTTTTTGATGAAAATAAGTTGACACAGCTAGTCTTACTATAATTTTCCAAAACCATAAAGAAAAACCACACTCAAAATTAAAAGGGAAAATGACTCACAGGGGTAACAAATTGTAGATTTTGTTCACATTTTGTCCATTTTTTTTGTACGTAAGTTGTTATTTGTGTTCACCATAACCCCTTTAACCAACAAAAAATTATGGTGAATAAAAACAAATGAATATCTACAGAAAAGTCCCAAAATTTTGGAAAAAGTTTCAAAAAAGTCATAAATTTTTTTTGAACATAAAAGTCTCATTATTTTGAAAAAAAAATCATATAATTTATCATTTGTTGTTCAAATATAAAAAAAATTCGTTAGTTTAGGCAAAATGTTAAATAATTGAGATTTTTCTGTTAAAAAAAAACTTTTAGGAATTTATTGAAACTTTTCCCAAAATTTTGGGACTTTTCTGTAGATATCACTACAAACAACAAGTTAGATGGTATATTGAGTTTTAAAAAAAAAAACTGCAATAAAGTCCTTACATATTGGCTTCATAATCGCTTTAGTCATTATATCTTTTTTTTATTCAATTAGGTCCCAAAAACCGGTAATCATATTCAATTTAACTGTTTTACCCGGTCAACATATCAACCAACTTTCAAAAATTACATTTTTGGCCCAGAATTCAAAATTTATTACAAATTTGTTCCAAAATTTACACTTTTGGCCCAGATTTTAAATTTTATTACAAATTTGGTCCAAAATTTACTCTTTTGGCCCAAATTTTAAATTTTTTTAATGGATTCATCCTAAATTTAGTTGTTTTTATAACTTTTTTGTCTCAAAATTTTATTTTGAATATGTTTTTTTATAAAATAATATTTATAAAAAAATATTTTCACATAAAAAATCTTATATTTTCTATATTAAAACTTTTTTTAAAAAACGTTTTTGTATACGAAATATTTATTTATGAAATAGGTATTTAATAAGTACATAAATATATACAAATCTTTTTTATAAAAAAATGTATACAAAAATGTAAAAAACACCTATTTCATAGTAAACGTGTGTGTGTGTGTGTGTTATATATATATATATATATATATATATATATATATATATATATATATATATATATATATTAGCCGTCTACCCGCACAATGCGAAGGGCGACGAATAGTTTATTTCGGGAATTAATTCTATTCGAAAACGTATTATATTTCAAGGAGCACAAATCAAATACATATTTCTATTGGTCGAACTTTGATTGGTTTCAGTTTGACAATTAGTATGTTGATGTTTTAGATTAAAAACAAGTATGTTGATGTTTTAGCTAAACAAATTATTTTCTTTTTTTAGCTAATCAAATTTGTGTTGATTCTTTTTATGCGTAAAACAATGAGCACAAACCCCATATAATTTCTTCACGTTTGTATTTTTAGTTGGTTCACTTTTAACCATCGAATACAATACGCGCTTGATAAATATTTGTACTTGACGACGTCCATATAACATCAAATGCATGATTTTCTTCATGGAGTAAGTTTACTTGAACACTTATGTAAAAGATAGTAAAGTAATGCGATTAACCAACCTTCTTGTACAAAAATATGTTGTACTCATGACATTTCAAAAACTTTTGTGGCTCCTTCGTCTTAGTCCTTTTAGTATCACAAAAAAAAAAAAAATACTTGTGAACTTATAATAAGGAAATCACAGTTTAGTGTTGTAAAATTAATATATTAGTTTGTTCATTTCATGTATAACATTTGAAGTTGATAATCACCTTATCAATTCCGTATACAAAAAAGTTTTTTAAAAAAAAAAGTTTTATAGAAAATATAAGATTTTTTATGTGAAAAATGTTTTTTTTCTTTTTTTGTATAAATGATTTTATAAAGAAAAACATATTCGAAACAAATTTTTGAGAAAAAAAAAAATTGTAAAAAAACTAAAGTTATGATGAATTCATAACAAAATTCTAAAATTTGGGCCAAAAGGGTAAATTTAGGACCAATTTTGTAATAAATTTTAAAATTTGGGCAGAAAGTGTAAATTTTGGACCAAATTTGTAATAAATTTTGATATCTGGGCCAAAATTGTAATTTTTGAAAGTTGAATGACCTGTTGACCGGGTAAAAGGGTTAAATTGAATACGATTACCAGTTTTTGAGACTTAATTGAATAAAAAAAGATATAAGGACTAAATCGATTATGAGGGCAATAGATAAAGACTTTATTGTAGTTTTCTCTAAAAAACAAATGAACATGTGAAACAAAATCAATAGCTGGTTACCCTCCTGAGTATTTTCCCTAATAATCTCAATGCATGTTAGCCTTAACATTACTTTTGTAGACAAAAAACAACTTCTGTATTTCGAGAAGCTATTTCCAAGAATTTTTCTTGTTTTATTTGTGATTAAAAGGTAAGGTAGCTAGGTACGGACTAGTTGCCACCCATTATTAATGCTTAATGGCGTGGTAACGGGGTGAACACACCCCCCCCCCCCCCTTGTCGTTATGTGGTGTCCCGAGGTGATGGTAACGAGCTGCCACCCATTATTAATGCTTAATGGCGTTGTAACGGGGTGAATACACCCCCCCCCCCTTGTCGTCATGTGGTGTCCCGAGGTGATCGTACGAGCTGCAACACATTACTTTTTTTTTTTACTTTTCCAAATTCGACCGTAGAATGGTCAGATTTCATAATTCTTTATTTATTTATTTATAAATACATACTACTACCTTATTTTTAATCACATTTTTTTTTCTTTCCATACATTTTAAAATTTCAATACTTCACAATTAAAAAAATGGATCCATTCGACCCACCTAACGCTGATGTTGTTGATGATGAAATGTTCATCTCTTTGATGTACGAGTATTGTACGAACGTACTACTACAACCAGATCCAACTCTTCTAGTAACCAGACTGTGGTGTTAAACAAAAATTGCGAAGGACATCGACGTCTAGTTCATGATTATTTTGCCGATAATTGTGTCTACCGGGAAAACGATTTCAAAAGAAGGTTACGTTTGAAAAAAATATATGTGTACGGATAGCCACAGCCATGGCAAGCAGGTATCGTTTCTTTCAATTTTTGTAATTTATAAATGTAGCTTTTAGATAAAATAAATACACTTTTTTACCTATTAAATATATGTTTAGGTATGAAATTTTCCATTTGAGATATGATGCTAGAGGTAAGCAATGATTCACAGGGTTGCAGAAATGTGTTGCGACTATTAAGCTTATGGCTATGGGGGAGTCACTTGATTGTATTGATGATTATATGTGAATGTCTGAGAGAACTGCAAGCGAAAGTTTGTATAGATTGGCGAGAGCTGTTATCGAAACCTTCGGTGACATTTATTTGTGCAAACCTTCGTTGAATGATATGCAACAACTATATGCGACACATGAAGAAAAGCATGGTTTTCCAGGTATGTTTGGAAGCATTGATTACACACACTGGAACTAGAGAAATTGTCTCATGGGGTGGAAATGCGAGTATGCTAGTGTCATCATGGAACGCCTTCATTGGTATTAGAGGTTGTTGCTTCCCAAAATGTATGGATTTGTCATGCTTTTTTCGGAGTTACGAGTTCTAACAACGACGTTACCGTTCTTGATTAGTCACTAATATTCAACGATGTTTTGGGAATGCATTGGATGCTCCCTTCACAGTGAATGGAAATGAACATAATTCTTGCTATTACCTTAAGGATGGAATATATCGACCATATTCTATTTTCATGAAGGCATTTCGACACCCAGTAGAACCAAGAGACAATTTTTTCAAGAGAAGATAAGAAGGAGCACGTAATGATGTGAAACGTGCTTTTGGAGTTCTAAAGACGAAATGACACATAGTTCAACATGCGGCACGACCATATCAGTTAAAAGCTGTACGAGATATTATTTATGCATGTATCATAATGCATAACATGGTGATTGGAGATAAATGACGAAATATTGCAAAGTATTTGGCTACGGAGCTCAGACAAGTGCAATTTCAACCAGAGACAGCGGGATATTTACATAGAGTCGTTGATATTCAAGATGCACGAAAACACAAACAACTTCGAGAAGACTTGACAGATTATATATATATATATATATATATATATA